GTCACTAAGACACCAGCTCAGTCAGATCAAAGATTCAATTTGTGTAGAATAATTAGAACTTGGAATGCTCTTATAAATGAGAGTGGTGTAATTTGTCTTACCTGACTGCCAAGTCCAATCGTGAAGAGCATAAAGAAGAACATCACAGCCCAAACAGGTGCAGCCGGCATTTGAGCAATCCCTTCAGGATAAGCCACGAAACCAAGACCAGGTCCTACAATTTGATTAAAACAGACTTCTTTTTTTTTCAACTCAGAATAAAGGCTATGAACCCGTCAGAAAGATGAACCCCTCTTCCCTAACCTTAATCAAGGTGACGAATGACCACACCCTAACTTGTTATCTTACCGGAGGATACAACTTGTGCCACTTCTCTATTAAGGGTGTGGGCCATGAAGCCAATGACACTGAAGATCACAAACCCTCCGCCTACACTGGTTGCACAATTGATACACGATACCACAACTGCGTCCCTGGAAACAGACACAAATACGTCAGGTAAACACGAGAATGTCAATCAAGTGGCCGAGATAGAAGTCTTTCGTCTTTTGTTAATCAAGTTGACATCTGTCAGTGCACGGTGGTTAATGTTATAAAGTTTTCTAAAGATAACTCATTTGCTCGCTCATTTTAAGTAACTTGTGACGTGGGAAAGAGAAAGCGCTGTGTGTAAAGCATATTGTACCGTTCACAGTTGTTATTGAATTCATTGTAGCTGGCATAGGTGACCAGGCCTCCAAGGCCCACACTGAGGGAGAAAAATATCTGGGTAGCGGCATCGATCCAAACCTATAAACAACAACAAAACCAGTTTAACAAACTGAACAATGTTGATAAAGATAAAAACTGAGAGGCGTCGTGATAAATTAGACAAATGCTTCTGTGTGTATCATCTTCTTACCAGAGCCCAGTATTTTCTTTCTCACCTGTGGCTCTAAGAGCTTTTCGACGTCTGGTTTTAGGTAAAAGATGATCCCATCAAGTGCACCAGGCAGAGTGACACCACGCACCAATAAGATACACAACACAATGTAGGGGAAGATGGCCGTGAAATAGGCCACCTGTGAACAGGAGTGATCGAGATATTAACCAAAAGAAAATATATCGTGACTGACCCTAGCATTTCCTTTTAGTTAGAAAACCATTCTGGCTTATGAAATGATGTTTACCACGCTTCTGTTTTCGCCTGTGGCTCCAAGATACCAAACTTAGACTTCTTGTAAAACAGGATTCCACCGATTGCGCCCGGCACAATGATTTCCCATATCTTGTTCTATGCATCCTGTTGGTCCGAGATAAGCTCATCGGAGAAAAGCAAGACGTATAGCACAAGATAAGGGAAGATGGTTGTGGTTCTTACACTGCATTATTAAAATTCTCTTATCGTGTCCTACCGCCTATTATCGATACAATAATCTAGACTCAAGCGATCATATGCGTGCGTCACGATTCTTTTTTTATTGCCATTTACTTGCCAATTGATTTTTTAAAATGTACAAAGAGAATGCAAATTTTTAACAACAAGTAAAATTCAGATTGATTTTTTTAGACTGTACTTTCTTGGTTTACCTTCCCAGAGCTCTTGATGCCTTTATGGATGCAAAAGAAAACAGCAATCCACGAGATAAACAACGTGGTGGCCAAAGGTAAACGAATCTCACCCGGCTCGTCGATGCCATTTGAAACGTCCAAGATACGACGCCTTAAAAGACCGTAAGTCGTAAAATTAAACAATTTCATTCATAAGGTGATTATTTTTTGTTTGCGAAGAAACTTATTTATCCACAGATAGTAAGAATATGCTCTTTAGGTACTGATGTCACCACTATTCAAAATTTTTTTTCCATCTTTTCGTTTGGCCAAGAGCTAACGAGGTGACTTGAACATGTCTGTGTAATGGTCTGCTCATGCGTAACACTGACTGGCTCTTTCTGTCTTTGGTGACATTCTACGCATGCGTAGTTGTGTAGTTGTGTCCATGCTCTTTTGTGTGAAATGATTTACCTCAAATTTACTCGCAATTTTTTTCCAAATCTTGTGCAAAATTGTTAAAGTTAAGCAATCGCAATTTCTTGAAGGCAAATTAAATCGGTGTTAATTTAAGATTGCCAAGGCAACCTATCAGTAATGCACTGCGCTGCAAATAACTGGGTTTCTTTAAATTAGTAAGATTAGCGAATCTTTAAAAACTAAACTTACTCCCAGAACTCCTGGCTGGGGGAGACTGCGGTCATTGAGCAATTAAAGGTCGTGCAGTTAGCAGTGAAATTTCTGAAGTCCTCACTAAAGAAAAGAATATTACAAAGTTATGTTATTACAAATGAGGTCATTGTTGTTAAAAATGACATGTTCTCAAGGGTCGAAATCTTACTAAATAGAGATTGGCGTCATTTTCCTTACGAAAAAAAGTGAAATATGAACATGAAAACTGTTTGCTGATCGATATGTTGAGTAAATATCGTTTTTTTACAATCAAAGGGAGAACTTTTTGATGTCGTTATTTACCTGCAATTTGCAGTGTTCCACGAATTACCGCAAGACTTCCACGGGACAACAGAAGCAAAGGAGTGATATAGATACAGAAGACTCCAGGATATAACAACATTGTAGTAAATAGAGATCAGGAAGGAAATAATCACCATGGCAACTCCGATACCTGCAAATGAAAGATAACGGAACATTTGAGCTGCCACAACGTGTTCATGGTGTAAAGCGCGCCTTGCATCATAAAAGTTGTGCAACGCGCTACTTCATCGATTGCGGAAACGCCTTATTCAATTTAGAGTATTCAAAAGTGGAAAATTTGTCTTGTAGAGCGTAGTAGTTGTCAATACATCTCACAGTGGAGTTGCTCATCTTTGTCTTCCATATTTAATTGTGATATCTCCAAGTTACGCTAGTGCTAGACATTATTCAGGATATCTTATACAACACAAACCTTTAAGCGCAGGGCAAACCACTGCCCAAGCTTTGATGGTACCGAGGCTCAAATACTGTCCGAGGGCCAGCTCCAGGTAAAACAAAGGAATTCCACAGGTTATCAACGTCAGAAAATATGGAATTAAAAAAGTAGCTGGGAATGTAAAATGAAATAAATAAGAATAAGCTGAAATCCCAGTGCATAGTTTACGATGGAGGGCAAAGTACGCGCGGAAGATTGAAGGAGCCACATAGCTGGCGCAGAAAACAAGGTTAATATTATTCTTCAGGCATTTACAATCCTTGTCAATCTTCTCCATCCTAAGCTATCCTATTTTATTTCCGATTTATTTTCATTTATTTTGTTTTTATCTGTCTTTTTCAACTGACATTTTGTAGATTCCTTCGAATTGAAGATAGTTTAACGACGTGTAACAGATGACACTAAATGCGGCGATACAACCTCTTTGAGTAAGATGGATTTTTCGCATACCTAATTGTGATTAAAAAAAGTGTGCACTTGTAAACTTAAGCTACACTGCTGAATAAAAAGACGAAGCTATGATATACATCTCTACGAGATCAAGTTACCTCCATCCTTCTTGTAACAAAGATACGGAAAACGTCAGATGTTTCCAAAGCCAACAGTTTAGGAAGAAAGCTATGCTGTTGACCTGGGAAACATCTGGCATTTCTGTATTATTATCGCCTTTTTTATGTTTGCCAGTCTTACTCAACCAGCATTTAATAGATTTTCTCGAATTGAAGAAAGTGTTGCAAGGTGCAAAATCAGACACGAGATGTTTTCACGCGCCGACAGTTGTAAAAAACGGTTTTAAAAAGTGTGCACTTGTAAACCTAACTTACACCCCTAAATAAATTACCTCCGCCGTTCTTGTAACAAAGATACGGGAATCTCCATATATTCCCCAGGCCAACCGCATAGCCAATACATGACGCTATAAAGTCAGCTTTGGAGGTCCATTTTTCACGCTGTCCGCTCGCTTCAGAGCTTTCGCCCACCTCTATAACAACGGGTTGGACCCTATTCGTCATTTGTTTAACTTTTCACTTGAATATTTGTACTGAATTTGACAAATACAAGCTCACATCTCTAAATGAACCTGCTTCCTCGCTGAAACCAAAGCGAAAAGTGATTATGATTTCATAGAAGGTATTGATGTAATTTAGTTCTGACGTCATTGATTTGCGATGATTATTGCGAGAAATTCAATGATATAATTAACTCATAAACCAAACTCTCTATTGATTGAACAGCTCTTTGATCAATCTGCTTCGTTAATTCATTACCGAGCTCAAAATTTCTCACCTCTTTTATTCTGCCTCCTCAAAGTACGCTTTTGACATTTTCAATCCTAGTCGTATACAGGACTAAGTATCACATGTGAACCTCGTAATGGCCTGACTTCCCACAGACTCTTCTGTTGCTCAGTAGTAAATCACCAAAACGACCATGAAAATGACATCCCGTACTCAAAAATCCATAAATTAAATGCTAGTTTTCAACTAAAAACTCCAACTGGCTCACATGATGATCGTACCCAGCACCTGCTAAAATATTTGTTCCAAAAGTGAAAGTGCACGCGCTTTTCCACAGTAATAAACCGCGCTTGTCAAGCCAGTCCAATCTTCTTCTTTAAAGTCCCGAGGTCAAAAGTATATGATAGCATCACATCTGTTAGTTTCGTTTACATGATTACTTTCCAGACGTGAAAAGATCTGAAAACACTAGGCTTCTTCGCAAATGTGTTGGGTACAGCACAAGGCATTCATCACGAAGACAACATCGGCGAATCGGAAATTGAATCGTGCTCCCGAGGACTTCCCGAGGATCGTGCGAACTGGGTGCGAGTGCAAACTGGGAACCAGCTGATTTCTAAAATGGCGGTAGTGACTACCAAATGCCCTTCTTTGTTCGTGAAAGTGAAATGTTGAAAGGATGATTGCAAATTCTATCTAGCTCTACTAAAGCTTCTATTTGTGTAAAGTATGGCTGGTATATCAAAACTGGAAGAGGTTTTCGGTGACGACGACAGTTCCAGTTTTTGGACTACCCCTGCCGATGACATCTTCCGGTTTTCGAATCTCTCCCCAAGTCACATGTCCGTACTTAAAGAGAGCGGACCATTTGTTGCTGTAGTATTGTCTTGTTGGGATAATGTTTTGGGGCCAAGACTTCAACATGTGTGGAGAGGAAATGGAGACACAGAGTCCCAGGTAAAATTAGATATTAGTGATTCGATTTTACGATTGCATTTTTCCTTAAAAGTCTTGCAGAGAAGTGTGTGTTTTACTAGGATTTCTTTCTCAAGCCGATCAGTTCGAATGTCTTTCGTACCTGTTTGCTGCATGAATTAATGCTAGGATAATTGATATAAATCCTGGGAGTTAACCCTGTACTTCCAAGATCTCATTAGTAACCCTCCTAGCTGAATTCTAGACATCTCTTATAATACTAGCTCTAAGAGTTTAGTGTTGGATCAAATAATAATCCCCAATTGAGTTTTTTCTTTATTCTCCTCACTTATCTGTTTAAAATTTTGTCGATACTATGGAAGAAGAAATTTATTATGGGTCACTTGAGTGAGTGAAAGGGTTAAGTTCTGATACATTTTTGTAAAATTCAACAATACCCCCCACTTGATAATTTTTTCACCCCTGAGACTGGAAGGGTTACAGCTATGGTAAGTGTTGTAAATGATGTTAGTTGCTTGGTGTGGGTACTCAGAGTTACATTTTAACAAGGTTTCCTTTTTGAACAGGAAAAAAGTGTCAAGTATGTGATCGGCCGAACTCTCCATGGAGAACTCTTACGAGATGCACCTGAAAATGTGGTGGACACAAAACTATATGTGGTGAAGGATTATGGCATTGTGTGTCATTCATTTATATTCTCAGGCTGTGACAAGTATGGCATCAACATTTCTGCACTTTCTTTCATCATCCCATTATCAGAATTCCAGAATTACTTGCCATTATTGGAGTTAGTGGAAGAACGTGTAAAGATTCTTATTGCAAAGTTGAGAGTCTTACAAGCCAAGGTAATGTTACTTTACTGTTGTCAGATCTTCAGTATTAGTTAAGTTTTGAAGTTGGTTGCTAGAGGCAATGCAGTTGAATCAAAAACTTGTCCTTAAAAGCATAATAATAAACATAATATTGTGCTAAATGTCATTGAATTAGTTGTTGTGCCTTGCTATAAAACAATTCATTTCAAATCAGGGTTGTCATGAAGTTCAGCTGCCTGCAATAATCACCTGACAAAAAAGTGGCCATCTTTGTGTCCTGAATTTTTGGCTGATGATCGCTTAGTAAACCACATTTGGTACTTCTGAGGTTATACACTTATAATTCGGTTGGATTTTGAATGCCTCGAGCTGACTCACTTTCAATTTCAAACCGCAGACTAGCTTCTCAGCTTCAACACTGCCAAATGTTCACTAGTCCCATTTGAAATATATTTTATTTCATCAGAGGTATACCAGCATATGTCTCAAGGTTATATGCTTCTGATTTCCTTGTATTTTACAGAACTTGACATCTTCCCTGTCAGCATTCAGCAAGTACCTTCCTCGCTTTATCCAGACTATCGCAAGTCTGAAAACAGCAGGCATCCCTGATTCTATTCCAGTGAGTATGCAGTCTATTCATAACAACCTGTAAACATAATGTGAGGATTTTCTGTATATAAAAGCAATCTTTGCGATAATGAACACTACTTGAGCAGTAGTGAAAATAAGGCCTGAAAAAAATTCAGGTCTGTATGGGATTTGAACCCATGACCACTGTGATACCAGTGCAGTGCTCTACCAACTGAGCTAACAAGCCAACTGGGAGCTGGTCATTATGTTGGTTCCATATAAACCTGTAAAATGATGAATAAATGACTGTGAATATATGAAAATTGTACATGTGAACTGTGGATAAAGAAAATAAAAATTGGGCATGTTTGTCTTTTCTTTTACTAAAATACACTTACATGTACATGTAGTAAGGTTTCCATAACAATTTCTTGACTATCATCATACCATCTGCTGTGTGCAGGGCATGAAATTGCACCTAATACAGGCACCAATGTGACTAAATTTTTCTCTTTGGCAACCAAATCTTGAAAATTAATCACCAAATTGGTGACTAGAATGCTTCATCATAACCTTACCTAGAGATATAGTGAGTTAAAAAGATTTTCAAAAATAAATCTGCGGCAAACTTCCTTGTTAAGTTTGTTTCCAAAATGTGGTACATGCATCTCGATTGATGACTAGATGCCATCTTGGATTTAGGTAAGCTTAAATGTTGTGTATCATCCATCCTTTGTGGCACGTAAAAGATCTTTTTCCTGACTTCCTTTTGGAGGTTCTATCTAGGACGCTGACAGCGTAAAAAAATGGTTTTGTTTGTCTTTAAAAATGGTGACCAACTTTTTTCGAATTGGCTACCACTATGAAAAATTTAGGAGCCAAGTGACTATCAAAAAAAAAAAATTAATTTCATGCCCTGGTATGTGAGGGATTTTGCTCAATTATTTTACATGAAGTTATAATTTTGCTTTCTGATTTAGTTAAGTGAGACTTCCTTTGGCCCAGGACAAGCAAGCAGCTTGGATGACCACTTCTTAAGAAGGTACATAATCATTACTTTTTGTTTTGTTTGTCTTTTTATTGGCAGTTGCTATTTTAGCCTGTAGTATACAGACACCCCCTCTTTAAGGCATCATTGGGTAAAATTTGTGGCTTATTACCACATTATTGCCAACTAATATTGCTTAACTCTTTAACTCCCAGAAGTGATTCAAATGTAACTTCTCCCTGCAATATCCATACATTATCTAGCAAACAGGTAATGAGAATACTCAAATGCATCAGGTAGAAGTTGTTATCTTGATCCCACACCAAATTCTTGCAACTAATTTAAAAGGAAATGTGTAGCAGCTAGAGAAGAGAATTAACAATCAGATCCTGGGAGGGTTAAAATTCTTGAAAATTCAACAAGTAAAGGGATTCCTTTGCCTGTTGTGCTTGAAATAAAGAAGAAAACTGGCTCCCCTGTTATCTTTATGCATGCTTTTGCTTTTTCTTTGTGCTTTATCATACTGAAGCCTTTACTTGGATGATTTTTGTGAATTTTTTACTTTTGTGGAGCTTTTTTTTTACCTTTTTTTCTGACTGGAAAACTTGTACTTGCAGCTTAAATCAGGAAGTTGGCAATGATGATTCTTGTTCCAGGACTCAAAATAATGGCTAGTCAACCAACAATGTCTGTCGAAATATAGGTTTTGTCCAGATTGGCAAACATTTTGTTCAGTTGTTTAAGCATGTAAAGAACAATTTAATTCCAAGCTTAGTTCAGGATTTAAATATAGCTATATAATTTTTTTCCCAGGTTTGAGTTTGAAGCTGGGTATAGAAAAAAGAGCTTGACTGATGTACTTGTTTTATTAGAGAGGGGAGGGGGGGGGTTATTAAGATGTGCAGTAATGGATATTTATCCAGCCAAGAATGGGTTGTGTCCAAGGAAAAACAGCTTTGACTGGACAACTTGATCAGCACCAGCCAAGAAATTATTTTGGATCTTTCTCAAGAGGAATGGAGTTTTTTGCAGCTTTTGCTGTGCTCTGAAGTACAAGCAACAATGTTATAATTGTGAATCCTTTTTTAACTGTACTTGTGTGTTTTGTTTCGGCAGAGTCATCACATCTCACTTGCAAACATTTGGAAGTACTCTTGTTGTAGGGAAAGCCTTGGATAAGGTCAACTTGGTATGCAACTGATTTGAAACCTTAAGAAATTTTTTTAAAATTATTTCGGTAGCAGGTATTTAAGTGAAGCTTGGTTGTCTGAATATCTTTTCATGAGGAATAGTCAATGATCAGAAATTGAAGCTAACCCTTTATCTCCAGCGATCCGATTGTTAATTCTCCCTTCTTGCTGCCACAAATTTCCTTTTAAGTTACTAATGAGAAGTTAGTAGAAGAACTTCTGCCTGATAAGTTCATTACCTGTTTGCAGGATAATTTCTGGATAATTATTATAGGAAGATGTTACATGTACATGTGAATTACTTCTGGGTGTTAAACATTCTCAACAGAATGCAGATTAAAGAGTGAGAGATCCCATCCATTTTTTTTTAACAAAATGTATTGTTTGATTTCCCTTAATTGTTTCATTACAGATGGTTAACACTTTGGCATTGATGCTTTCTCCTGAGGAGCGTAAACGGTCGCGGTATGCAGTGGATACATTGGCTAATGACAGCAGTGACTTTTATGACTCTGACTTATTTGTTCAAGGCTTGTTAAAGGTACTTGTTATGACAGTATGTTTGTACTGCTGGCAATTTTGAAGGAAATTTTACATGAAATCTTCTACTAAAGCATTTAACTGACAGCCATATTCATATTTGTCTCATTAGAAATGCCAGTATCTATATTCTCAATTAAGTGTCAAAAAAACCAAAACTAAAGTAATCCCAATAACTAATTAAAACAAACTAAGGTTTACATTTTCATTAACCAGTGAGGGCTCAAAGCAAATTAAATTAAATGTTTCAAGCATGGGAAAATGGGAATGACTAAGTCGTGATTGCTTTTAGTTTTGCATTTGATTAAATGAGAGGATGGTCCAAGTCATTGTTTCATTGTTTCACAGGTTTATTGCAAACCAATGTAATGACCAGCTCCCAGTTGGCTTGTCAGCTCGGTTGGTAGAGCACTGCACTGTTATTGCAGATTGTCATGGGTTCAGGTCCTGTACAGGCCTGAATTTTTTTTCAGGCCTTATTTTCACTACTGCTTGAGTAGTGTTCATTGCTGCAAAGGTCACTCCCATATACATCTAAAGCCTTGTGGTGAAGTTCATTGTGCCAAACAAATGATTTTCAGTTAGGAATAAATTCAATTTTTTCCATAAACGAAAGCCCAGAGGCCGTTATTCAAATAAACGTTTTCTACCTAGAATATAACTTATAGGTAACTTAATTGTTTCATTTAGCACAATATATACGAGTATTACTGAACGTAAAGGACAAACCACTGTCAGTAATTTGTTCTATGTTATAGTGCATTCACAATTTTTCTTTCTATGCCTCAGAGTTCCAAAGAGTCGTTTAGCCTTCCAGTTAAAGGCATAATCACCAGTAGTCTGCCAAGTACTCTTGTTGACATGGATACCGGGGAGGTCAAACAGACTTGCCCTTTTAACGAACACATCGTGATTCGTAGAGAGTTTATTGACATCGAGTTAGCACTTTTGTCAGAAGAAGCAGAGGATACGCCTGTTTTCCCGGAACTGTAAGTGCCGTACTAGAATGTACAGTAGGTTGCCATAGCGAAGTTTGTTGTAACTCGTACTTGTCAATCATAAGGTAGTTCATGTTTCAGAGAGCCGGACTGCCGTGCGAGAGGTCGCGTGTTCAAGCCTCAGACCGGATCAACACTCAGGGTCTTAACATATCTGAGGAAAATGCGCGGCCTTTGCTACGACACCTGCACACGGTTAGACATTCTAGTCTTCTCTGACAAGGACGATAAACCGTAAGCGCCGTCTCCTGCATCTTCACTATACTGGTTAGCAGCAACACAGTTCTCGCAAAGAGTTGGGAACGTAGCTACCGGTGTTGTGGTCTGGCCTTGATCCAAAAATTGGGGAAATCTGCAAACATGCTCATTTCAGTCTTACCAAAGTCCCCCCCCCGCAAAGTATCTTAAAGCGCCATTAGCTAATAGATATGGCGCTAAAGAAATCCGTCATTACATACATCACTTACTTACTTGGCCATTTTTCAATAAATTTACAATTGAAGAAATTTTGGAGTAAAGTAATTTGAAAACCTTAAGTGAGATGGCCGTTTTAAAAGGATGTTTGTTGATTGAGGAATGACTGGATTTGTCCATCTACTTAGTAGTTAAGTTTACATTTTTCATCTCCTTCTTGTAGGGGTTTGCTTCATTACTCGGAAGAAATCGGCCTCTTAGTACAAACATTTATGCATGATGTAAGTACTCTGTGTATTGAGAACACCTATTCTTGTATTATACTTGGGTGGTGAACTTGCTAGGCTTCGACAGAAAAACACCATGGAGTGTGTTTGGCCCGTGAAGATTTATGGGAATTTCTGGAATTCATCGGCAGAGTTGAGTCAGCTGGAGTTCATCCCGCTTGTCGTGGTATGAAACGACTTATAGTATTACTACTCTCCTCTTAATAGGATGTCAGATGGAAGTTCATCGGTACCCATTTATACTCCTGGGTGGAGAGGGACAGCGAGTTGAGGACCCGGCCTGATCTCGAACCCACACCTCTCGGCTTGGAGTCCAGCGCGCTAATCTTAAGGCCACCAAATCTCCACAACTTAACGGAAGCCTGGAATGTAATCTGATTTGAACCAAAACCATGAATATTCGTAAAACTCTTTGTCGCTTTACGCTACGGAAACCGAGCCAAGCCTTAATGACAAGAAGAGCCCCTTTCCACAAAATTTGCAAAAATAATTTGATGAACACACTGTCACTGATTGCTCATTTTGTGCACATGTTGCACGATTCATATTTCCATGATCGTGTTTTCTCTTTCCTTCCAGATCCAAATTCTTCCATACGTCTGTGGTGTTCGTGAAGGATTCATTGACAACTTCTTACGCCTTCTCGACCGAAAAGCCCTCGCTCTCATCAAATACGTAGAAACGCAATCGTAAGTATGGCCTCTCTGATCCAATAACTTCGCAGCCTCACGACATGTGAACGACGGAAAGTTGTAACCCTGTCTTCATTCAGTTAAAGACAAGCTTTGGAGCAAATCAATCTCCCGCAAAACTCGATGTTATGGCATCAGTGTCAGTTTCTGAGAAGCTGCGCACTAACCCTTCTCTCCCCCAACCCAATATTAATCCTAACTTGTTATTGTTTGACTGTAATTGTTTTAGGGGAGGGGTAGGCGCGCATCAATCTTGTTCTAATCCCCCCCACGAAAAAGCCTGAATCCAGAAAATTCCTTTAACTGCGAGCAGAAAATTCTCAACGAAGTTTGTTTGAGAAGGATCCACCAAATGAGTTCAGTTCAGGCATTTGGAATAGCGTCGGAACTGTGTAAAACTCCGTCTGTTAGAAAATTCATTATCTCCCAAGTTTTCAATAGCTCAGCTGAAATAACCAGGAACTTTCCTAGGTCTTGTTATGTGAACCGTTACCTTTGACCTTTTCTAATCATTCTCCAGGTCGCACGGTACAGTGCCACTTAATGACGCGGCTAAGAGACAGTTACGTCAGGACCTACAGCTGGTTACCGAAGCTGATTACTCCATTGTGCTAACACGTGCAGAGAAATTACATCCGGGGATTTACACGTTTCTTAAAGGCGATCCCAGGCAAAACGCGGACCGTGTCCAAGCCCTTTTCGAGTCTTTTTGACGACCTTACGAAAAGAGAAGAAACTGGGGAGAAGTAACTCTGACCAATAGCAATTTATCTTTCCAGCCTCGTTATCATGGACCCTTAAACGAGGTTTTAGTTGCTATTGGCTTCAGCCAGTTTCTAAATCTTTTAGGACACGCAGATCACGCTTTTTGCAATAAAGTGTTAGGTGGATTTGAAAAGTTTTATAACCATTCAATGGAAGACCGTTCCCAAGGATAGTATTTTGCCGCGAGATTAAGCTCGAAAACGTGAATGAAAATCTGAAATTATAAGAACTCGCACGAATAGGAACATACAAGGATATGAAATCAGTCTATGTTTTGAAAATGAATTCATTTCAATTTAACATATCAGTCGATATGAGGTGATCCTTCAAGTTTAACCGCGCTCTAAGCAATGCAAAAATTTACGAAAAACTTGTAATAATCAGTGTTAATAGGACATGAAGAGGTGACTCCCGAACTGAACCTCGTCGTATTAAAATGCGCCACGTTGAACTTCATTAAAGCCTGATGTTTTCAGGCTTCGGTTTATCGTTATTTAGTATATTAATTTTGTACTTGTAAACAAAACTTTCAAAAATGGATAGATTCCAGAAACTAATAAAAATAAATTTATTTCCCCATGTGGTGTATTTGTGATAATTTTTCATGTGTAGGTGATCAGAAATAAGTAATAACCAGCTTACGTATGGAATTTTTATCGCATTCTGTTTGTACATACAATGACTAAAGATATATCTTTAATCATATCTCTTTTGGAAGCGTCGAATTCAAAGAGGAAATGATAACGCCGGTTTACTTTTGCATTACTAGAATTATTTCCTTTTCAGAGTTTAGTTATCAAAGTTGACAGGCAATAAAGTTTTACATTTTTATTCAGATTGTATTTACAATTCGCTTTTCAGACAAACCGATTATTTCGCTTACTGCACGCAGAGTGGAGAAAATTAAAAGTGATGGGTTACGAGTGTGGTGCATGAATAATTAAGTTTTCGCTTTAGACTTGAGATTTGAGAGGAAATTAAAATCTTGTTTGTGGTAAGCTTAGGTGAGGTAGAAAAAGATACAAGCGAGACTATCAGAAGCATCAAAGTATTATAGCTCTGGTTTTTGCTTTTGAGCGAAAGAATCGTAGCAATTGAGGAAAGGGTATCATCTTGTATTCCTTTTTAACACGATCTCTTTTGATAATCATTTTGGTTTAAGTTTTTGTTTCCTACTACATTTCATTGATATTAAAGTGCATCCAAGATACGCCTTGTATTACCAACAGAACTTGGCGGAAATTGTCAAAGGGTTATTATGAATAAGATCAACTCTATCAATCATTGCATTTTTTTTTTTTTGAGTCATTAAGAACGAAGACAGGTGATCTGTAAGTGATTTTACAAAACCTGAATCTACAGGAAAATTGTCGAAGTTCCGTCTATGTCTCTCTTATCATGAGTTAATTTACTGTTGTTTGTGAAATCTAACATCAAAGGGAGAATAGCATCATTTTTGAGTTCGAATAATAACTGGCTTGAGTCGCTGGTAAACTTGTGGAATCAGGTTTGCTTGTCGAATGAAACACGATTCCTCTACTATCTTACTTTGGCCTGCAGATCGTACGCTGCAAGGGAACATTGCCAACGAAATTTTAGTTGGAAATGATGGGTCCCGCATCTTACTGTGAAACAAGAAATTTTCCAGTTGCGAACGCAACTGATCTTTTCCACGCCGTATCTTTAGGCTCAGCTGTGATCATCGCGATAACTTTTCCTCTAACAGTGCTAGGAAATGCGCTGGTTTTGCTGGCTATTTGGAGAAATCAGTCGATGCGAAGTCCATCTTTTTTTCTTCTAGGTATGTTATCCTTTGAGTACTTTCTATGTGGTCTGATTATTCAACCATTTTATGCAGCAAAAGAGCTAGGTGTCGTACTGAAAAGTCAGAAACAGGAGGTAGTGGTGCCTTCGTCAGAGAGGAGTGCGGCTGCGCTCTATGTTTACTTAATCGCCGGCGGCTTCGGAACGCTTTTAATGGCTACTACCATATTAACTGTAACACTAATGGCTTTGGAAAGGTGGATACACATGACAAAGAGACGCTGGGGAAATCTGAGTCGCATTTGTAAACTGTTCATCGCGCTTCTTTCTCAGCCAATACTGCTGGTGGTGTTTCGTTCGCTGGAATTAATAACACCAGGGTCGTTCTGCACTGCTATGAATACACTCGTGATATGCCAGTTCTCAATCTGTTTTACAACAACCACCATCACTTATATTAAAATCTTGTTCAAAATTCGTCGCCACAAACGACAAATTCAGGCAAGTTTTTCATCGCAGAATGCTCCAAGGTTTTCATGTGTCAGCTTAGCGAAGTACAAGAAATCTGTGTTGACTATTTTTTACCATCTGGCACTGTTCTACTTGTGTTACTTTCCATTTACTGTGAGTGTAATTTTATCGTTAACATTTGAAGACACGCTAGGTTTAAGAGCGGCTGTTAAAATATCATTGATGTTACTTTTTGTATCATCTATGCTCAACCCTTGTCTTAACTGCTGGAGGATTAGGGAAATTCGCAACGGAGCCAGGATGGCTTTGAAGAAATTAATCTGCAGAGGTGAAAACGAACCTCAGCCGAGGACATGATCTAAGCAAATCCGAAAATGAAAATGGCCTTCGAAAGGCTAATCAGTAATATTTAGGTTAATCTACAAAGAACTGATGAATAAAGGGTGTAAGCTTTTAAAGAAACTGCAGTGTTACGTCGGTGGGGATAGGACATGATAGCTTTGTTTTATTAAGTATTTATTAACTGTTAATTAGCCACCTTATCGAGTTTCGAGCGTTAACCCTTCATCAGAGTCCTTCTTTCGAAAGTGGTTACACGACTCAAAGTTCTGTGGCGTCTTCATTCTAATTTTTTTGAAGTTGCATATGTTAATCACCTAATTAAATAATTTTGGTCCGTGCCAATCTTTTGTCGATCCAGTAGTCAGTTTGTTAAAAATTGGAACTGTAAAAGGTTTTTTACATCTTAATTTGAATGCAAGACAAAAAATTTATATTGAAAGAAAAAAAAGCAAAGCAAAATAAAACGGAACGAAACAGAACAAAAAATTAAACAATTCAAAGTAAAAAAAATTAAACCAACAAAACAAAAAAAAGTCCGGAAATATGGTTGGATGCTTTGTTTTCATGTTTTATAAATATTGATGTACGTGGGAAAAGATGCAATTTAGTGCAAACAAATTTCTTTCTAATTTGTACAGCTGACACCTGATCAAATTGCACGGGTACTAAATATCCTAGGAAGTATCTTTCCATCAGTTCTATAAATTTGAGCGCAATTTGTAATGAAGTTGCACGGTTTCAGCAGCATGTTACAGGCGTTTATTTAGTAAACGGGTGCATGTGGCAGTAGCGGTATATTTAACCAAAAAAGAGGCGTTCTTTTTCGCGCTACATTGTTCAGTCCCTGTCTCATCTCAGTCGTCTCTCTACTTATAAACTGAAGCGCGTGGGTAGATGGGAAGGGGAAAAGGACAGATTCTCTTTCCTCTTCTTTCCCATAGTTCCTTTCGTCGAGGTAATGCCAGTCTTTCGCGATCCCGCGGTCGCGTATTAAGATACGACAGGAGACGACTCAGTTTCAGCCCTCGTTTTATTTTCAGTCCTCTTTGACGCTACTTTCGCGCCTCGATTTCTAGATGAACGCCTGGAACAGGCAACGATCTCAATATTCCTGTCTGGCAAAAGTAGTTCTATTGTTCCACAGTGCATATTTAGAATTTGGCCTCTAAGCTGACGTATTAATATATTTAGAATTTGTCCTCTAAGCTGACGTATTAATCCCGAGATGGCTGGGATGTTCTCTTGATAAATAACGGTAATTTGGCGTTTTTTTTTTCAATGTAGAATAGTTAATAAAAGTGTATAGTTTGGGTATTTTGCATTAGGGTTATTAAAAAGGTAATTTGGTACGATCGCCTGAGTTGTAAACGTAAATTAGTCAGTTTTTTTTTCAACTGCATTTATCTTAACCAATCAGAACTGAGTAATTTTTCCATGTATATTATTAATTACAGTAACTGCAGGGACCCACGGCAACATGGAATCTATTGGTATTTTTTTAAAGGAGCAAAGAAATGTTGAGGTCATCTGTGCGTCTGTCCTCCACCAGACCATGACATGGTGAGCTGAATTACGCCCGCAAAAACTTGCAGGCGTAATTCAACTTATCATGTAAAATACTATTATCTACATAGACAGTAAATTGTCCGAATACGATACCTTTCGAGTTGTATAGACCTCTGGCGATCTCGAAAGCTTCGGAATCCATATTTCAATTGCTACATTATGGCTTTGACCAATTCATAGCCAAAGCGTCTACAATGCCTCCAGCTTTCTCTTCCAACCACCAACCCCTACTCATTCAAAGAACATATTGATTTTAGATGACGGAGTGGTCGATGAGCATCAAACGTCAAGCGTTCGCCATGTTGAATTTCAGCGATTTGAAAAGCCCTGGGGACTAGTTCTTCAGTTGGTTGTCGGTGTAAGCTCTCTCCAAGTGAACCTCTGAGAACCCTTTGATAGCTCCAAATACACTCGTTTCCCCTTGTTTCGTCTGGAAATCGTCTTCTACCGCAAACCCCTTTACCACGGCAGTTTAGAGCTAAAAAATTCATTTATCAGAGACTTGGAGTAAAGTATGCATTATAACTTGTGAGAAAGCCCTCAATATTTGAGCTTTCTCAGACACAGCGTTAACCCGTTTTTTTTTTAGAAATTTACCCAATTAATTCGCCCAACTAAGCAGGTTGGCTGTACACTGTTACTTCCTAGAATACTGGAGTGCAGAGGGAAAGTTCGGAATTGATCTCTAGATTCGCCTAATTGTTTCCTTTTTGTAGAACAATCAACTTTAATGAATCGGAAAATGGGTCATTTAAAAGTTTACCAAAACTTATTGATGGAAAGAAACAGCTGTCTTACCGGCGAGGTGTAAAAAGTCTTAACAACAATGGTTGCAACCCTCTCAGTTTCATGTTGCCTTTCCTTATTGCTTTGTACCGATCTTTGTGTGCTATACATCTATCTTAAAAATATTGTGCATGTCAAAACAAGTGCGATCACTATCTTGTCAATTTACCGGTCCC